CACAATTCCTATGAAATCAATATTTAGCTTGTGCATTGCAGTAAGTATTCCAGTAGGGATTGCTACTCGATGTGCTCAAGCTCCATAACCTTTTACAAGAAATACATTGGAATGATTTGCTCTATTGTATTGCACTTTAAACTGCAGTAGGCAGAAGAACTGTGTAAGTACAAATGTACAGCCTTCATGCTCAGTAATATTTGCAGTAACAGAATTTTATTGCAGGATAAACCGCTTGGAAATTCCTTCTTGGTAATTTATGTGAAAATCAGAATTGCCACAAGCTAAAATTTCCCCATTCCAATGTCATCAAATCTGCAATAAGCTTAATTAATGAAGAAGAAGCCAGCATTTGTCTTGTTGAAATGAGGCATTAATTGTGTGAAGGTGAGGATTCAGCTTTAAGGTTAGACAGGGAGCTGCTTTTGAGGAGGATTTCTTCAGCTTGAAAGATAAAGCAGAAACCAAGGAGACTCTTCAAAAGCTATGAAAGGTTTTGAAAAGTTTCTCTTCAAGAAGAATTTGAATTTAACAGCATTTTCTGCACTTATGGAATTAAATATTTTAAGTGGTAAGAGCACGCCCACCATGGAAACTCAGACTCCTGGAAATCCAGGAACTTGGAGAAAGTCTGGGATGCCAACAAAGGTCTTTTCATGGGCTTTGGACTTGAATTTATATCCAAGTTTATATTTAGCTGACCAGAAAACACAGATCTTCATGAAGGAAACTCTTTTTTTATTTTTTTCCCCTTGCCTAATTCCAAGTGAATGGATTAAATGTGGTCACCTCACCCAGGTGAGCCCAAGGCTGCTACAGGAGGAACAAAAGAGCTGCAGAGGAAGGCAAGATTCACCCTGGTAAAGGGTAAATGTTAAAAAAACCAAAAAAACCCCCAAAAAACCAACAACAACAACAAAAAAAAAAACTATAAGAGGTGAAGGCCCTACAAGAATCAGAAGTACAAGAAGTTCTACTTGGAATTAATTCATCACCACAGCTCACAGGTGAGTTCTGCACTTCCACTGTTGATGTTGTTTCACATATTTTGTTCCTTTTTGTCTTTGAAGTTGCTCTTCAGAGTAATTTAAACATAATAATTCTGAAGTGTGTGTTTTGAAATTTCGAATAGAGCAGACATTTTGAAATTCCACAAACACATATATATACACACATATATATACACACACACACACACACACATACATATATACATACACACATATATTTTTTTCCTCTTTTTTAATGCTCCCCTTTTTACTCCCCAAATGGGCACCAAACAGAAAAAAAGCAGAACTCTTAAAACCAATTTCTCATTTTGGAACGAACTGAACCCAAACTTTCTGTCAGTGCAATGAATCCTGGCAGTGCTGCACAATCCATCCCAGCTAAACAATTCTGACAGTCACTACTGGCAGAGCTGCACTTGAACATGATGGCTGGACATGTATAATGCACAAAAAGGAGATTACTATTAATATGCAAAAGCATTATGCATCAAAAGCCAGGCTGGCTCTGTCTGAAGGCTGTAACTCTTAATGAAAACTGAATTTGAACAAGAGTAGTAAATGCTATTTATTTTTTTTTCCCCTTACAAATGGACTTTTACCCTAAAAGAAACTCCCCCACCAAAGACTAAATCCGAAGAGGATATTTCTGCTTTCCTTGTGGCATGATTTAATCACAACATCAGAGCAGTAAGAACACAGAAGGTTTGTTTTCACGCTCTTTGGAAAATAAAGAAAGAATCATGCTTTCCAATTTCATAAGTCTCCTAAACTTGATACTAAAAGAGAGAACTGTGAATCTGATACATGACATTGCTGTGCCTGAGGGCTTAACAGTTTATTTCTGTATTAGCCTGAGAAAACAAAATGAAAAAATGAAAATGAAAGCAATAAAAACACCTGAATTGACATAAAGAAATACGCAGAATATGATCTAGTTTTAACTCAAATGGTCTGCTGAATAAGGAATTAGAAGAAAAACCTCCCTACTGGCAAATTTTAGTACAAAGTGAGAGAACAGGAACCAGGCTTCAACGTCCAAATAGTTTCTATATATTACAGCAGTGCATTGACTGCTTTTTTCTTTGTGGCTTTGTGTTTTTAGGTTTTTTTTTTCCCAAGGCTTGCAATGGCTGGATGAAAAAAAAATTAATAATTATTTTTGTTTTTCTCTATTTAAATAAAGAGCAGCAAAGACACTGTGCTGGCAAGGAGTCAGAATTTTAGGGGAGAAAGTCAATCCAAGTGACATCTCCAGGTCTCACCCTGGATACAATGTTTGAAACTTGCCCTTTCATCTCCTGCAGGAGAAAAATTGTGTGCATTTACACACAGAATCCTCCTTGCTCCATTTCTTTTGAACTCTGTCTTTATTCACAGCTTTCCTTCCCCTCCACAAGTTGTTTTTCCCCTTCATTCTCAGGAGGAGCTCTAAGAACATCCTTTTCTGGTTTCAGCAGCAGCAGAGCATCACAAGGAAGGGAAGAAATCAGTGCCTGGGCTCTGCAGGGCTGGAGCAGGGAAGGTTTTATAAATTTGTATCATGGGGGCTCACAAATCCACCAAATTGCTCATCAAATTCATCCTCACACGTTCCAGACAGGAATACCCCAACAGGACCATGTGCAGTCAGGACACTCAGAAGGGGGTGAAGATCCCACAAGAATCAGAAGTTTCAAGAAGTTACACCTGGAATTAATTCATCACTTCACCACAGCTTTCACTGTCAATGTTGTTCTGCATATTTTACTCATTTTTATCTTTGAAGTCGTAATTTAAAGATAATAATGCTAAAGTGTGTGTTTTGAAATGCCTCTCCTAACAAGGCAGACATTTGGAAACTCCACATATATATATATATGTATTTAATACTCACTAATCACCTTTTTTGCTCCCCAAGGTAAATGGACAAAAAGACCATGGGATGATTAGTCATACAGATATAATCATACTTCAGTAAACAAAAACCCAAGGGTCACTGTTTATTTGCATTAGATCCTCTCACATTCCCCTCTTTGATGAACTACGAAGATTCACAACAGATAAAGGAAAAGCAATTCAATATAGGGCACTGCAATAAGGGGCCTGGTTTGAAATACATTATCTGCAAAGACAGAGAATGTCAGGGTTTATAAGCCAAGATCAGCATCATCTCCTTTTCTGCAGCTATGATGTTATTTCATAACACGGAACTGCAGACAGCTCTTACAAGAACTGTCTTTTTGCTTATAGGCAAAGCAAAAGAAAAATGGTTTTCTATGGGGAGGCAGAATACCTGCTGATCTGTCTTAATAAGAGGTTAAAATAACATTCTCCAAACTGTTTGACAGCTTGTTTTTACATTTACAGCGTGCTCTTACTAAAATCTGTTTTGAAATCAATTCAGCTCAAAGATTCCCAAGTGGATTTTAGCAGCCAGCTGTTCCAAAGGTCCACTAAAGAGATTAATGTAAGTGAAGCTAACAGGTAATGTTAGCATTGAACACACCCCCAGGCTCCAAATACCAGGAGATTTTTATGTCAGATTGAGCCTTTCTGCAGAGTTTGGAGGGAGAAGGGTCAGGCAGCTGGAAATGCTGAGTTCCTCAAACTGCATCTGGCTCAACTCTTGTCTCTGCAAGTCTCCACAGAACCTCCTCAGTGACAGCAATGCAACATTAACTCAGGGATGTACACCCCAAGCAGCACTGCTCCACCATGCCAGCTGGCTTTTGGAAATAGGAAAAGCAGCTTTTCACTTGACTTCCTGCTGGTTCTCCCATCTCCCAACTCCCCACGGCCACCAAACTGATGTTTGGCAAGTACCCAGCTGCAGGGAGTGACCTGAGATAGGGGCAAAGAAGGGCTGGGAGGATGGGCACTGGTTTAACAATGTCACTTCTTTTTCTTTAAAGTTCTGGACTAAGCCAAAAACAAATCCTGGCCTTCTGAGGCTCCATGAAAAGCTAAATACATTTATTTTGGAGCTGTGTGCAGGTCTCCAACCCCCCAGAGCACAGCCAGGACACAGGAACTGGGAGGGGAAGAAGGGGATGGAAGGAGAGGCTGCCACAGCACAGGATCAGGAGGAAATCCCAGCCAGGGGACTGCCCAGGCCAGGCACAGCATTTCCCTCCATCCCCTCACTGAATGGAGTTCTTGAAAAACAAACTCATCTATGCACAGCAGACCTGGGATAAACCACTGGATTTTCGTGCTCCATGGAGCACAGCACTGCCCTCCTGCCCAGAGCTGTGCTGAGCACCCCGAGAGGATGCACAGGGGGACTCTGGGCACTGCCCTGCTCTTGGCACAACCCTGGCAAAGCCAAGGGGCACAGAATCCACCAGAGCCAAGCCCTAGGGCAGGGCAGGAGCTTCTCCTCTCTTCTTCTCTCACACACTCAGCATCACTGGGGATGCTGGAGCAGAACGAGCTGAGCAGAGATCACCATGGCAAGGCTGTGAGTGAGCTCTGAGCTGCACCAGGTAAAGAACAATGACTCTGCAGAGCTGATGTGGCAGCAGAGAGGAGACCTCAGCAGCTCCAAACCCTGAGAGCTGTCTGGCTCAGCAAGAAAAGCAAATCTCTGCACCAATTCAGCAGCAACACAGTGCTGCTCCTGAGGAATAAACCCCATTCTAAAGCAGAGGTTTGAGAAAAGCTGCAGCATTCAGCCACAGCAAGAATCTGAAGAGTCCAGTTAAAGACAAACACACCTTGCAGATCTCCAGTCATCACACCTACCATGCACTGCTGCCAACAGCATCCTTAATGCATTCGAGTATCTTCTGCTTGCTTTGAAAGCACATCCCTCCACAGCAAAGGTTCTTTGAATTCACTCACTTTTACCATTTTGCATTATTTAACACGTCTGCTGCATGCTTGGTTTCTAAACTGCACAATAACTTGTGCATTTCAAAGCCTCTGGGTTCTCCTCCTCAAGTGCAGCTGAAACCTGGAATCTGGCAATTTGTGCTCAGTTCTAAAAGAGAAGTTAGAGATCATTGTTACCTGCAAGGCAGCCAACAAATGACACCAGGAGCAGCTGCTCCCACAGCAGCAGCAGCATCTTCAGCCTCCTGAATTCAGTAATTCTGCTTGTCTCAGAGGAACTCTGTGGTTAAGTCTTTCAGGTGGCAAGGTTCAACCTGTTAAAAGAACAGACATAAAACTGAATCCCTTGATGGTGCTTAAGAACTGGCTTCCTTGTTAATGCACTTTTAAATAAATACAAAGTTGACAGATCCTTTAATGTTCCTCTTTTTTCCAGGACTTAATCCCCCCAGCAGAAGGGTGCATTCATATTTCACCTTTTTTCATGTACATGTGCTGGAAGTTTTATTCTCCAGCAGGAGCACAGCTGAGAGCTAAGTTGATTTTGCAGTTCCCACTTCCCACCAAGCTCCAGCACTGATTTATTTGTGAGATGCAGTGGATTTAAAGGAAGGGAGTACATGAGTGCAACCATACACAGCTCAGCAGCTGAACACATCTGGGAGGAGCAGCTTGTGCTGCACTTGCCTTGTGCAAACCATGCTGGCAACAACACAAACCAGTAACTGATTTAATTAAAGCCATGTCCAACCCATCCTTTTTTTGATGTACTGGAGTGTGATGTGCTCACTGATGGCTTTTTTAGTTTTCAATTTCTCTTTGGACTTTTGCACCAGGTGCAGTGAACCAATTTACTGCCACTTTGTCACTGGCCAGATGATAAACCCTGTGCCTACCAACCTGGCTAGGGCATTATTTTACTTGTATTTTTCTCCCCAGAGAAGTTTTACAGTAATTTTCTTTAGTTGTAGGACAACTCTGGCCTTCGTATTTTCTGGATGTCACTTCCACAGCATCCTCTTCCTTGAGAGGAAGGGGAGACAGGCAGGACACGGCCCAGACTAAATGATTCCTTCTGGAATTAGCCTACAGATCACTGCATGGCAATATAAAGGTCAAGAAAGCAACTACTAATTCTGAGAAGCCGAATCTGAGCTGTCTCAACTTGATGTTTCCATGTGAGCTACCCATTTTTTTTTTTTTTTTACATTAGAATTAAGGGTTTAATACTGCTGTAGATCAAGTGTTAGAATTTCTAGCTAAGCTCCCCAGAAGAAGAATTCAGAGAGTCCTCCCTGATACATCCCCAACCTGTGATTAGCTAGGAAGATTTATTCTCCTCCAAAACACATCACCCTTTGCCACAAGGAGAGTATTTTTTTCCTCATCCTGCTATCCTTGGCTGCTGTGGGACACACTGTCACCTCCACCCAGTGCTGAAAAGTTCTTGCTTTCTCATTTTCCCCACGTGCTTCTAAACCAGCAAATAAGCAAATGCAAGCCCTGACATCTCTATCAAGTAACAGGTATTGATCCCCAGCAGAGCTGGCACAGAGGAAGGCTCAGTGCAGGGATGCAGCAATTCCCAGGCACCCAAAGCAGAAGGGGAATATCCCAACACAGGGCAGATCCCTGGCTACAATTTTAGGGGACTCACCCAGGATCTCATAGATCTCAGACTGAAAAATGTTACTGGTTTCCAAAAGGAGTGATGGGAGTACAATAAATTCTGGTAATTTTGCATGGCAGAAACCTCAGAACAGCGCTTTGGCAAGAATGAAATTCTTCACAGAATCACAGAATATTCTGAGTTGGAAGGGACCCACAAAAATCATAAATCCAACTCTCAGCCCTGCACAGGATACCCTGAGCATCACACCCTGGGCCTGAGAGCACTGCCCAAACTTTGCTTTGAGCAAAAAGAAAAAAAAAAGTGAGGTCCCAAAGAAATCTGTAAATCTGTTCTGTGGCAGATCTGCAGTCCAAGACTTTCCTTTTCTCCTTTTTCTGTTTGGTTTTTGGTTTTGCTTTTTTCTTTCCTTAGCAAAGCAAACCCACAAAAAAAAAAAATCCCAAACCAACAGAACCAAACCAAAACAAAACCCCACAAGAACAGGGTGAACTAAAATAACAAAATAACCCAAACAACAGAAAAATAAAACCCCTCTTGCTGAAGCTGTAAACTTGGAGCTGGCCATTACTCACTGGAATTTCCAAGGGGCACCAGCAAAGCCTTTCCAAGGAATGATATCCATGGATATCCAAGGATTCCCAAAGGAATGATATCCATGGATATCCAAGGATTCCCAAGGGAATGAATGATATCCATGGATAGCCAAGGATTCCCAAGGGAATGAATGTTATCCATGGATATCCAAGGATTCCCAAGGGAATGATATCCATGGATCCTCCAGCACAGGAGCAGCCCAGAACAGCCCAGCTGGGGCTGCAGAGCTGAATCCTGCTGGAGCATCACCAGCCCAGCCCCTGGAACCAGGAATTCCAGAGCAGTGAGGGCAGCCAGGAGGGCAGGGAGGGCACAGGGGAGGAGGGGAAGCAGGAATATTAAAGTAGGTCACTCTTGTGTGTCAGCTTTCCTGCAGTCTTGCAAGAGAAAAAAAAAAAATATGGAGAAGCTAAATTAATTTGGTTTTGTTCTCTAAGTGCTCTGGGCAAGGCAGAACATGATAGATTCATTTCAGGCCAGAAAAAAACTGCTTTGGTAGAAGCTAAAAAAAAATAAATTAAAAAACTGAAAGCTTTTTATGTGGGTATAACATCATAAAAATACATCCCAACCTCTGGCTGCATTATATTTTAATAAATTTTAATATCTAAAGAGAGAACAGTAGCTACCAGCTAACACTGTAAGACTTAAATTACTTTAAACACTTCATTTTCCCTGTGTTCTGCGAGGTTTTGCTAATCTAGGATCTATTCCTGAATACCACTGCTTCATTTTAAAAGCACCACACTTAGGAATGCTCAAATTTCCAGCTCTGAGCCAGATAAATGCATCCTTGTGCTCAACAAAGGCTGTTCTTCACAAAGATGCAAACCCAGATGTACACCCAAAGCATGAACTTATTGAAGTTTCTCCTCAGTTCATTGCTTTCCTATAAAGAAAAGGAGCCCAAAGTAGGTTTTTTTTTTTTTCTCTGCAGAGATACATGAAGGGCTACAAAGCAGAGTTGCCCCTGGCCAAGTCAGTGGGATCAGGCTGTTTACAGACCCTTGGTCAATGCTTGGCACTGGGGAAAGCTTCTGCCTTGGAAATTGCTCCAAAAAGAGGAGGAAAAAAAAAAATCAAATATTGAACACCACAGCAGCTCAGCTTCGCTGTAACCTTTTCTTTCCTACCACAATGATGTAAAAATTAAGATGTTAAAACCCCCAAAACATTATATTAGAAAGGATGCAGTGAGTTAGGTTTTTTTAAAATTATTTCTCACGTGGAAATAGCCTGCATCAAAGAGATCCACTGCCAGTGCAGGGATCCAAAACCCAAGAACAACACTGAGCATCTCTGTCACCTTCACAGCTCCAACATTACCCCAGATGTTCCTCAGCTCCCAGCCCCTTGCCTCTAGGCTTTGTTTTCAACATGTCCCATCTCACAAATGTCAAAAAATAACCATATTAAAATATAAATTAAAAAAATATTATTATAAAATTATTCTTCGTATTAAGAGTCATTGCATGTTCCCCTTTACAGAAGGAAAGGGGAAAATCCACAACATCATCTGGAAATAAGACTTAAAAACTGGCTCCCCCAAAATTCAGCACTTTGTACTTAAAGGCTGGAAAGAATAAAGAGAAACAGCAACTGGTGTGGTTGGAAAAGATTGTAAAGAAACAAAGCAATAGCCACAGAATAAAGGAAATGGAAATGTATTTTTTAAACCAGAAAACTTCCTATTATTAGGTAGTGCTCTGTTTTCAGAAGCCAAAGTTATTTCAAGGCAGTAAAAAGGCAAAAGTGTGAAGTGGTGCAAAAAACACCAGGAAAAATTAACAGATTACATTTCTTTTTTATTTATTTAACTTTCAAGGAAAAGTCAATTCTCATGAGCTGCTTCAACCATTTTTTTTTGATGGAAAAGACTGGCTATTCAGAAAAAAAAAACAACAAACCAAACCCAAACAAACTACCAGCCAAACAAATTAAGCAGGAAGGGAGTACACACATATAAAAAATTCAGCTTCATTTTTTTTCCCTTTAAAATTAGCCTTCCAGACCTCTGATTTTCAGATCATATAATATGGCAAGTGGTGCACATGAATGTCTGAAAGAAATAAAAAGTTTGGGAAAGGTTCAAGAGTCAGTAATTTTATTCAGTGACCTTAATTTTTACTACCCAGAGTCAAACATAAAAAGCAGTAGTTCCCTGAAGGTGGAATTTTTATTTCTATACATAGAACTGGAACTTGTCAGAGCTGGCTGGCAAGTTCATTTTAAACTTGGAGTTTGAGCAGGAGGAATTTGTAGAGTCATCGAGTCTAAATTAATCAGAAATTCCTGGAACTCAGGAGAGCTCTGGAGACCCAGAACTTATTTTTCTGTATTGATCACAAAGCACAGCACAGAAAATCAAGTGATGTCCTGACACTAGAGGTCAGCAGATCTTTGCTAAGGCGGGGAATTATTAAAATCTCGTAAAACCATGGAATAGTTTGGGTTGGGAAGGATCTTAAAGCTCATCCAGCCCCACCCCTGCCATGGCAGGGACACCTCCCACTGTCCCAAATCCCAATGTCCAGCCTGGCCTTGGGCACTGCCAGGGATCCAGGGGCAGCCACAGCAAATCTGGGCACCTGTGCCAGGGTCTCACCTGGATAAATGATGAGATTTATACTCAAGTTAATGCTAAAGTCATCTCCACAGGGCAGCATCAAAATGCTGAACACTCCACAACAAGCTCAAGCAGCCCATTTTGCTTATTTTTCGGGGAGGGGAGTGATATCCATTTCGGATTCCTCTCAGAACAAGATGTCAGCCTTTGTGAAAAGTGACCCAATGCAGGTGTTTTCAGTGAGGAAAGAGCTGGGCTGGCAATTTCCCTCCTCACTGAATCCAGCCTCTGCCTCCTGCTGCCCCACTGCAAGCCTGGAGGCACCAGTGCCACGATGAAAATATTCCAGGTTTGCATGGGAACTCCACACTTACCTCCCCATGGTCAATCCAGAAATAATTACAAAAATGCTACAGTCACAGGTGTTTGAAAACCCAAAGGAAAGAGAACTAAACCCCTGGGGTAGGTCTCCATTTGTACCTGATTTATCCAGCCAATCTTTCTCTAATACCAGGGAATCT